ATGCTCGAGAAGCACGCGCCGAGCGCGGCTGCGTATTGGAGAGGTGATTCTGTTATCTAGGAGCGCCCCAAAAGAGGGGTGGAGGACAGTCGGCGTAGGCCAGGTATCCGTGCGGATGCAGAGCCTTCATCCTGAGGCCGGTCCCCTCTCGGGACAGGAAGAACACAGACACCGATCTTGGCATCCATACGCGGCCCTCCCGCGTTGGGTACCTACCTGCGTCCCAAGCCCGGCGGATCCCAGCCAGTGGAGAAGCAGAAGCACGTGGGAGCACGGAACAACTCCGAAAGAGAAGGCACAGCTGACTGCCCCTAGCGGATGCCTGGTGACCGGGTCTCGGACTTGGCCTGGCTCCCCGGCACGCGCCCCTCTCAGGCACCGGTACACTGCACGTGCGCAAGCGCATTACAGTCGCAGCGATGGCGAGCAAGAAGGGACCTTCCTCAAGGCTGTCGCTGAGTAATGGCGTAAGCCACCGGAGGCGGAGCTGGGGTTTAGATGTCCACTGCGGTTGCGCATTTTAGTCTCACAGCTCGCGGTAGCTGGGGTATTGGGTGCGGTTTGCCTCTTCACTCTCTTCATATCCGAACTAAGGTACCTTGGCTGAGAAGGGCAAAATAGCTGTCCGCACCCCCAGGGCCTGCCCACGTAGGTCCAGGGTTTTCAGCGTCAGCCTGGGTACGCGAGACGCGACGGATCCAGCTATCTGTGCTCAATTTAACCGATCCCCGTAAGTTGAGGAAACTCGGCCGACAGACCTATTTTATTGGTCTCGCTTGTCCCTCCACCCCCACAGTACTGATCTTACAGATGGGAATCCTGTAATCTACCCATGACTGCGGCCTCTGTACTTTGCAGGCTCCCATTAAGCCTGTATATGGTCGTCAAATGAAATTACTCCCCCTGGGCTTCCAGTAAACTCCAAGAACATGACTACAAGGACAACCTATACATAGCGTGTTGCATTCTTGACTTTGGGGCAGATCGCTGAACTTCAAAAAGCATTATCAACTGCTTAATGTTTCCTCCTGGATACCGCAGATGTCTGAATGCAAACCCCTTCCCCAGATATACACTTCCAATTTTAATGTCAGCAGCAGCACCACCCATTTAATCCAACATTCATCATGAAATTTTTTTTTGGTTCATTCAGCAAAATGTCAATATGCCCATGCACTATTGTGCGCACAAGGGAGTGACCAAAATGTTACTGCCCCTCGTGGTTAATTCTAGGTTGTTTTAAATGCTATTAAGCAAAAGTATCCAGTGAGTGAAGTGACTAAGGGCACTATTTTAGAAGCGAACACGGAAGGCCTCTGACGGGGGGGTGACACTGGATGAAACAAGGACCTAAAATTTATAAAGAATAAGCCCTGACAGTATCTGAGTGAAATGCTCCCCCATGCCAAAGATGTACATACAAAAGCTCCAAGATGGGGAAGAAGTCCTGGCAAAGCAGTGGGCAAGTGAAGGACCAGATTTAGAATTTAATTCTAGTCATCATGAGAAACCACTGGAGTTTGTGGGGGACAGGGAAATGAGAAAATGTGCTTTGCCCTCTTAAAAGGCTATTAGCCAAAAAACTAAACCACAGGAAGGCAACGGTAGAAAACGGGAGAACAATTATAAGCTATTGTAGTCACCTGTGCTAGGATGGTAGTCGTGGCAGTGGTTAAAAGTATTACATAACTGGATATTCAAGTTAAACTACGTGAACTCACTTATGGATTAGATACAGGGTATAAAAGTAAACTGAAGATGGCACCCAAAACATTTGCTCTGAGCAGCTGGTGTTGGGTAATCAAGGAGTTGACTTGGAATACTGAGAGTCTGACATCCAAGGCCTGGAGAAATCAGCAAAGGATACCAAGTCGTGACCAGTGAGATAGAGTATCTACAGAATCCATTCACCACCACCACCCCATCTCCACCTTAAGTTGGAATCCATTATTTCTCACATGGACCACTCCAACAAGCCTCCGTACCATCCCTTGGTCCGTATGTTGTTCTCAGCATTGCATTGAATGTTATTTAAATGACAACTTTATTAAGTGGGCCACCATACCCACCCCAAACAACAGGTTTTTTTTTTTTTTGAGACGAAGTCTCGCTCCGTCGCCCAGGCTGGAGTGCAGTGGCGCCATCTCTGCTCACTGCAACTTACCAGGTTCAAGCGATTCTTCTGCCTCAGCCTCCCGAATTGCTGGGACTACAGGCGCATGCCACCACGCCCGGCTAGTTTCAGTATTTTTAGTAGAGACGGGATTTCACCACATTGGCCAGGCTGGTCTCAAACTCCTGACCTCATGATCCCCCTGCCTCAGCCTCCCGAAGTGCTGGGATTTCAGGCAAGAGCCACCACACCCGGCCCAACACACAGCTTTAAAACCTTCAATAGTTTGCAACTGTTTTTAAGAGACAAAACATTTTGCAACTGTTCTTAGACAAAACATGAAATGCAACTATTACGCTGTCCACAGTAGTCTTTACCTGTTTCTCTAACCTGTAACTCTGCTAGTCCTTTCTCTTTCCACTTGATCCTGGTACTTTCAGTCACTGGTGATCAGACGTTTAGATATGTTCTTCTCTCCCTTTCTTTTGACTAGTCTACTACCCCTTACCCTTCAAATCTAGCTCAATTACCCCTTTCAGTTGTCTCCCCTGATCATTTTAACTAGGGTATACACTCTCCGTCATGGCTTTAGTATCTACCACATTGCTCCAACATGGCATTTGCTACACTTTGGTGTCATATCAGTGTCTTTGATTAGACAGTTCTTTGATTAGACAGTTCAATGAAAGCAGAAACCACAGTGATTTTTGTTACCACTAAATGCCTAGTGCTTGGCATGATGCTGGGCAAAGGATACCCTAATTTGCTGAATAAAGCCTTAGTTCAGTGGCTTAATACGGTGTGTCTGTCTATTAAACACAGTACTTAAAGTTAGTATTTCCAAATGAGCAATACACGAATGCCTTTGCTAGATGATCAGGAACAAACTGCTGATCTTCCACTGCCTATACTCAAAACAGCCGTACTGCTCACGTAACTGGATTAGCTTCAGAACAGCTTGTTAAAGTAGGATATTAGTAGTAGAGGCTGAGAAGTGTATTAGAAGATGAGGCTATCAGATTTCTTATATAAACCTTTTCCTCTCCTCATACCAGTAGCAATTCTTCACTTATAGCTTTTGCTGGATGGTTTTTAACAACTTAAGCAGACTTCGTTCAAGGACAGTGAGAAAACCAGGCTTTCATAGAATTTAATCTAATGTAATTTTAAACATTCACTAGTCTTTTCCAGTACTTTTGTAGAATTCAAAATGGAAAAAGGTATGAGCCTTAACAATTTACTTGGCCGGGCGCGGTGGCTCAAGCCTGTAATCCCAGCACTTTGGGAGGCCGAGGCGGGTGGATCACGAGGTCAGGAGATCGAGACCATCCTGGCTAACATGGTAAAACCCCGTCTCTACTAAAAATACAAAAAAAAAAAATTAGTCGGGCGTGGTGGCAGGCACCTGTAGTCCCAGCTACTCGGAGGCTGAGGCGGGAGAATGGCGTGAACCCAGGAGGCGGAGCTTGCAGTGAGCCGAGATCGCGCCACTGCACTCCAGCCTGGGCGACACAGCGAGACTCCGTCTCAAAAAAAAAAAAAAAAAAAAAATTTACTTTCATTTTCCTGAGGGGTTTTCCTCCCCATTAACTCCATAAAAAGGACAAGATGAAGGGCAATACTGATTCTGTGAAATCTAACTTACAATCAATTAAAACTTAGAATGCTTAACAAGAACTCAAGTGGAATGCAGATTCCGAGCTTAAAGATGAAATGAAGGGTTTGAATTCGGCACTTACCTGCATTCCATTTCCTCTGGTTATATTACTGAAAATATAATGAACAAATGTCCTAAAACACTTAGGAAGCTGACTGCTCAACTAGCTGTTAACTGATCACCTCAGTTAATCAACCTTCTGAGAATAAGCACACATTCTATGTCTCCTTTAAGTGGAAAAGTCTCCCACATAAGAGTTGCATATAAAAGGAGACAAAAAGAACTGTAGAAGCTAACTGATTAGAAATATTTAAAGGATATTTAATATCAAGGTACAATGATTGAAAAAAACTTTTCTGTATTTTTTAGGAATTATTAGGATCTGGAAATAAAACTGCCCTAATCAAGGTAATCAATGACATTCTACCTTTTTAAGTTTTAAAAAAGAAGTTTCATATCCACATGAGATGATTTATATTGTGCATATACAAAAGTATTTTATATGTGAGCTTGCTACACCAAGAGGCTACAGTGACATGTGTGACAATCGTTTCCTTGAAACTCTGCTAAAATATGCATTTGACCAAACAAAAGGCCTTCTGCAGCTAGGACAAGCAATCACATATTATACAGAATACTTAGAACCAAGATTCAGATCTTAATGAGACTTAATGAAAGGTTCTCTACCCCATAATGAGGCACCCCTTTAAAAATATGGTCTGAGTAGACATAAAAGATATACATTTAAACTGTGATGGTAAAATAACCAAAAAAAGAAAAATTATAGTTTAAAAAAAGAAACAATTCTTTGAAAAAACATACATAGAACAGTCAAACTATGAACACCTTTACACATTCACATCTGCACTAATGCATAGAAGTTCAAAACCTAGAAGGCATTTCTTCCCCATCCCTTCTCTGAAACTGATTCATAGAGGTCACTGTGTGAAGAACTTACTTCAATCCTGATTGTAAATATCATGAAATTATTTTCTACACAGATAGCAAATTTAGTTTTATATAGGATTGCAAGCATACATCATCTAGGGATTACCCAGTAAACCACAAATATTTTATCCATTCCCCTAAAATACAGATAACATATGGTTGTGGTACATCCCAGGCAGATGTCATTTAAAGCACGCAAGGGGAGGTGCTAGCAAAAAAATACTCATTTGCCAAAGTAACAGGTTAACCCTTCCAATATGATGTACCACAACCACACATGAGAAAAGTCAAGAACTTATTTTATTTTATTTTAAAATAAACATTGAAGATCCCCCATTTCCCACCACCCTACAAAACTTTTGAATGTGGAATGTTCAACAGCCTATCCATTTTGGTAGGTTACAAAACCAGCAAAAAATCCAGTTGTCTAATGATGAATGTTTGAGAATAGTTTTGTTTTTAAATAGCTGAGCACCTACTGGAAAAATTCCTGGGCTAAATGCTGAAAATAAAATTTAATTTCTGCACAGGAAACACCATTAACTTAGTAGCCTTTGCTTAAAGGTGGGCTTAATTCTCCATGAAGTCAGAATGAGACAATAAGCAGCATTAAGTTCATAGGCACACAGAACTAGTGCTCAAACTGCTAGCACAAATTCCAACAGAGTACATAAGGCTAAGTCACTACTCAAGTGTCCATTTCCATCAAATTTAGAGACTCTCCCTATGCATCTAAGGGAAGGAATTATCACTTTGAATATAAATGCCTCCAGGAGAAAAGGAGAATTCAGGTAAGGTTAAATTAGACAAAAGATAGTAAGTGCAAGTACTAGAGAAATGTTGCTGGAGATAACCATAAAATTTGTGACACTAACGTGGTATGGGGGTGAATCACATAAGCTGCTAGCTGTTGAACACCAGTGTTTCAAGATACAAGTTTTATAAACATGTTTTATTTGTTTTGCTTATACCATCAGAACTGAAACTACCGTCTGTGATTTCCCTGAAACAGGGAAATCAATCTAAAACACATACTGGTGCCTTTCAAAAGATAGCAATTGAAAAGGGTGGTAGCAGCAGGCATTTGGTATCTTTTCCTTTTAAAAAAAAGCTTTCAAGCTGAAGGAAAAACATGTGACCAAGAGTGTTATGATTATCCACTAGAGATTTCATCAGTACCTGTACCAATTTAGGTGACAATACAGCAAAATCCAAGGATTAGTGACAGACAATGTACATGTCATAAGGAATGATAGTACCAATCCTTACAAAAGTCATTGTCTCAAAAAAACTGTTAAGTGTTCAAAAAGGTATCTAAATATTTCACATTAAGTACAGAAGCGGCCATCCAGATTACATCCCATATTTGTTGCATATTTTTCAAAAAGTGCCAATCAAAGCCTAATTTTGAATCTTGGCTTTGTCTTATACAGTATCAGCTGTTAAAAAGCATTTTACATGTGTTTTTAACCACAGTTGTTTGGCCAGATGAACAGTGCTGTGTCAAAGCTGGTAGCCAGCCTTCTAGGTGTGATTAGGACCCATGCATAATTTGGTATGCATCTGAACGTTCAGTGCTCCAATTTAACTGGAAAAGCTGTGAAATGCAGTTGTTCTGCCAAACCACACTCCACTCCTTTCATCTTCCTTTCTAGGGAAATATTTTAGTTTGTCAGTTACCATTGAATAACTCAAGGGCTGATTTGTAGATTTTATCCAATGTCGAAAAAGTCAATCTTGCCTTTATCAAGCCACTTCAAATAACTATGGAGATTATTATCACCCTGTAAAGTATATTGTTTTACTCCTAAGCAAGGGTGAGGAATCTGAGTATCATGTGCAAGGCTCAAGATGACGCTTAGGACAGAACATGCAGAGTAAAAATAGTTTCCTTCCATATCCAGGTAATAGAAAGCTGACAATTGTAGTCCTGTCTTTATGGGATGAAAACAGTCCCTTTACAATAAGTTTCCTGAAAGGGAGAACAAATAGATAATAACTCTTCTGGTAACATATTATGGTACACTGGCCAGTGTGTTTTTGGCGATTAAACATAATCCTGTGAATCAGATTAATTCACTTGCTGAGTGTTCATTTGCGGCATCCCTCTGTTGGGTCTTGGGGGCCCTCCACGACCTAGAAGACAAAAATGGCATTTGATTTTTCTTTCAAATATTATTTGTTTTGCCTTCAAGCAGATTTTCATCTGAAGTCAAGAAGCATGTGGGCATCCTGTCACCACATTATTAGGCTTAAGAGGTCAATTCTTCAGTGTTCAAGTTTCCCCTGTCCTGGAAGTTGTCATGCGCAAATTTGCTCATGTTCATCTTAGCTAAAAGAAGAGTAGAGCTAATGGAGTATTCCACCAGTACTCATTCATTCATTCATTCAACAAGTATTTATTGAGTGCCTACTATGTGCCAGGCACCGTCATCAAGCGTTGGGAATAGATACAGCAGAGAAGACAGACAAGGTACCTGCTCTCATGGAGCTTACATTCTAGTGTACACTCTAGCTTACATTTCAGTAGTAAGTAACATCATACTATCAAAATTAATAAAAGCACCAGAATGAAAACAGACCTTATTACCTAAACTGTTAAAAAGAAACTACATAACATTCAAAATTGTATAATGACTTTTAACAGATAAAATAACTTTTCGCATGCTGTTAAAACAGATTTTTAGCTATCAGTTTGAACTCAACTTTCATCGAATATGCTACAAAGTGGGAAAGAAGAACATAACCCACATTCACATGCAAATATCCTTTGATATTTCTAGTCAAGTCAGTAATTCCCAAGTGATCCATTAATTTTTAGAAAAATGTACCTTTTTCCTGGCCAGTTTCTACTAGCATTCAAATCAAAGTACTTTGTAATTCCTCCTTAACACACATTTTATACATGTTATGGCCAATAGAGGAAACCTATTTGATGTTTAACCTCCCTCAAATCAGAGAACCATTTAGAATTTCAGACTACATGAAATGCTAGCTCTAATTGTTAAATAGGTTAACTTCCTGACAGAATGGGAAGTAGTTTTCCCATAGTAAAAGAAAAACAAAAAACTCTCCAAACCTGTAATTTTTTTTTAGTTCAATAAGTTAGGAATTTGGGGGTTTTGTTTAAAAGTCAGAAATAACTTGATATTTATATACTAATAGAGGTCCAAAAGGCATTGCAAATTCCATTAGTTCTATTACTTCTAAATGGTTCTCTAAATGTTAACTATGGCTTATCCGGCCATTAAAGGGTGTCTGGCCTTAAAATATAATAGGCATGTTTCCAAAAAATGAAAGAGGAATAATAAATTTATATAAATGTTCAATCTCATTCCAAAAATGTCTTACAAAAATGTTTCAGTAAGTACTTCCTAAAAACATTTAGCAGGTTTTAGGACCTGAAAAATAATTTTCAGTTGGAAAAACACTTTTTCTGAGGAAGAGAATATGTTCTAGCTTTCAAGACAGTTTATATAGTAACAGGGAAAGTCATTCAAAAATTAAAATTTGGGTCCAAGATTAAGTTTTAGAAACAGAGCATTTCATTTAATCCCTAGCAACAAGTCTGGAAAGGATAAATGTATTCCTAACATGCAGACTATGAACAGCTCTTCCAAGGCCAGAACAGAAGCTCCACTTAGGAGCTAGGATCACCACCACAAAATATTACCTCGTGGGGCTCCCCGTGGTCCACTCTGCCCAGAGCCTCGCTTGAAATTCTGCTGATATCCATCCTAAAAGACAAGCTAGTTAGTATTGAAAAGGTACTTTTTAAAAAATGCTTACCCATCTATTCTTTCAGTCTAACACTCAATACACAATTCTTCCTTAATCTTTTAGACACTTCAGTGTATCATGGCTACACCTTATTCTGTAATTGTTGTACTTCTATTCTCAAGAACATTCAGTGAAATGTATTTCTCTGCTCTTGGAAATCACTGTCTTTAACAGGCTTTACTAAAGGAGTACTTATGTTACGAGTGCTAAAAGCTTTTGTTTCAACAAAGTGTCTTGGACACCACAAAGTTAATGCCAAATTAGGTACTTAGGTTCATTAAGCAACTACACTAAGTCACTTTCATTGCTATACTTAGTTCAGGTTTACACTTTAGAACTGCTTTACCTACCCGTTGATAGCCGGAGTAATCCCGGGGAGCACTGAACTGAGACTGTGTATAACCACTGTTTGGAGTGTTAGAGAATGAAGGGCGGTAACCATCATATCCTCCTAAAATTTAGGACAAGAAAAGAAATAATTTTCTTATCTTCACAAGGAATTTTTACTTTTATTAATGAAGATGGGAAGAACTAGAAAATTGTAAGCCAGGCTAATCAAATTAATTTCCAATTTCCTATCTTGATCCAATCTGTTTATAAATTTCTATAAGTACTAACGGCCCCTCAGAAGATAAACTTTTAATCCATCTATGCATGTAAACACACATCTATACAAACATAATAAACAATCCCCGTAAGTTTTGGTAATGTGGAAAATACTTATCCTCCAGGAGATAGTGGTAGACATTAATTTGACATAACCAAATGAACAAAAATTCCATGATTTGTTATTTAAATAACAAATTATATCAAATACACAAATTATACCAATTGTATCAAAATATATACATTTAGTTTAAATTGTACATAAGAGGCTAATACAGATACATCCTTCCCAAAAACTGTGTGATAATATTTTACAAATCAAAAACTAATTTGAACTAGTAAAAGGTCATAGAACTTCCTTTTTTAATTTTTTTTTTACCTCTGAATCCATTGGCAGGGCCCCGGTATCCATTCATCAAGCCTCTAGCACCACGGGAGCCTCCACGAGACACACCACGACTATTGTAATAGGGCTGATTGCTACGTGGAAATCCAGTGTTCTGCTGAGGAGGCTGCTGGTGGTTACCAGTCACTTGATGGGACTGGTCCGGGGAACCATGGTAAGTGCCAACCACTATAATTTAAAAAAGAAAGAAAAGGGTATATATATACACAGCTCATTACCGTTTGTTCTCCCATGCACTTTCTAGTTTGTGTCTTATACAGTCTCCTTGAAGTTTAATCCTTAAATAAATGTGCATACAATGATAAGGAAAACTAAACATGAATAAAGTCTCTTACCTTTCTCCTACCCTTAGACTAAGCTAATGGGGGTAAAATTCTCCAACCACAATTCCAAACCTTTGAAAGCAGGGTGCATGATTGATCCTTCCAAACAAATTATTTGAAAGGCTATATTAACATCTTCTGAAAGGCATCTACTTTTTAGCACAAGAGACCCAAAATAACTCAAAAGATTTACTCTTAGTACATTACCATATTTTGTACCATGTAATTACTTATTTACATTATAAAGCTCCTTAGTGGTAGAAATTTTCTTATTTTAAATATCCTTTGGTACTTAGTAAAACATACAAAACCACTCTCTCATATTTAAGGAGCTATATGGTAGAATATGTCATCAATTACATAGTTTAACTAATCAGCAGAGGCCTTCAATTTATAACCCTTAATGCCAAATTCCATTTCAAAGTATTTAAAATGGCAAGTACAGCCAATTTAGAAAACAATCACATGGTACTCACATTGGCACTCAACCCACTTGAAGCTAAGGTTCTAGAACATACACACTAACATATATACAAGCTCCATCCACAATGGAGAGAGTTCTAGAATCTAGAAATTTTCAAATATTAAATACTACTGAACAATGTATATAATTCAAAGAGGAGAAAAATATAGGGTGCTAAAAGTACCTCTGGGAGGTGAGAAAGGCAACAGAACAAAGGAAAGCCCACACACTAACAACAAAGGTCAAAGGTGCTGGCCAACCCAAATCTCCTCTTTTGGGGCAGAGAGAAAAGCAGTTGTATGACTCTTAAAAATCTTTACTTGACCTATTTTTACATCCTTAAGAAACTCCAAATACATTAATAGTTGTTAGAATCCTATTTTAGATGAAAGCACTAGGGAATACCTAAGGAAAAGAGAGAGCCATGGCTCCTCTTGAATTACTTAATAAACCAACTACATCAGTGTCATCTTTTTATATAGATTGCCTTGTATTATATTCCCAAAATTTAAAATTATAAGTGAATGACAAATACACATGACATTTGCCATGTAAAATGGTTCATTTGTATCCATGTACAAAGTATCCAAAAGAACTGAATTTTAGAATCACTTTTTATCAATAACAGCTTGTAATCTTGATCAAACCTCACTGTAAGAAATTCATAGCAAGGCTGAGTGCAGTGGCTCACGCTGGCAATCCCAGCACTTTGGGAGACCAAGGTGAGCAGACTGCTTGAGCTCAGGAGTTTGAGACCAGCTGGGCAACACAGTGAGACCCCATCTCCACAACAACAACAACAAAAATACAAAAACTCAGCTAGGCATGGTGGTGCATGCCTGTGGTCCCAGCTACTTGGGAGGCTGAGGTGGGAGGATGGCTTAAGCCTGGAAGGCAGAGGTTGTAGTGAGTCGAGATGGTACCACTGCACTCCAGCCTGGGAGACAAGAGCCAGACTCTGTCTCAAAAAAGGAAAAGAAGAAGGAAAGAAAGAAAGGAAGCAACTCACAGCAACAACTTAAGTGTGATCTTTATTTAATTTTTACTTTTAAGACAAGGTCTAGCTCTCTCACCCAGTGTTGCTGTTGGAGTTCAGTCAAATAATCATGGCTCACTGCAACCTTGAACTCCTGGGCTCAAGTGATCCTCCAGCCTCAGCCTCCTGAGGAGCTCTGACTGCAGGCATTCACCACCTCACCCTGCTAAGTTCTGTATTTACTTTATAGAGGTGGGGCTCTCACTATGTTGCCCAGGTTGGTCTCAAACTCCTGGTCTTAAGCGGGCCTCCCAAAGAGCTGGGATTACTGGCGTGAGCCACCACACCCAGTCTTCATTTTATTTTAAAATACCCACATTCCTACTTAAATTTTGGTAAAGTATAAACGTGTAGGCCATTTTAAAAAGCCAAAGATTCTTTTGTCATGTTGTTCCTGATTAGACACTAATTCAAATTAAAACACAATTTCTAGAATGATGGGACATACTGAAATGATTTGTTCAACAAATATCAGGCCAGGCATGGTGGCTCACGCCTGTAATCCCAGCACTTTGGAAGGCCGAGGCGGGTAGATCACCTGAGGCCTGAGGCAGGAGGCCAAGGCAGGAGAATCGCTTGAACCCAAGTGATTGAACGCAAGATGCAGAGGTTGCAGTGAGCCGAGATCGTGTCATTGCACTGGACAATGGCCCACAATGTATACATGTTATTTCATCATGAACACCTGGCCTCAAGCAATCCTCCCACCTCAGCCTCAAATGTAGCTGGGATTGTAGGTGCCAGCCATGAAGCCTGCCCACAATGTACACACATTTCAACACATCATGCCGTATGTCATAAATACACATATATATAGTTTCTATTTCTCAATTAAAAATAAATGAACTTTTAAAAACAAAAATAGAAAAGCAATCCATGTACTTATCAGTGGGAGAAAGTTTTCGGCAAGAACTTGGAAAGGAAGTATGAAGGCCCTGAGATTAAAAGGGAACTTGTTGTGTGTGTGACTGGTGTGAGTGTAATCCTAGCACTTTGGGAGGCCGAGGCAGGCAGATCACTTGAGCCCAGACCAGGAGTTCGAGACCAGCCTGGACAATATGGTGAAACCCTGTCTCTACCAAGAATACAAACATACAAAAATAAAAAAAATAAAAATTTAGCCAGGCATGGTGGCACATGCCTGTGGTACCAGCTACTTGGGAGACTGAGGTAGGAGGATCCCTTGAACCCGGAGGCAGAGGTTACAGTGAGCCATGGTGATTGCACCACTAGTTTTTATCATTCAGAAGCTGGGCGTAGTATAACTGGTAAATTCTATCAGAGTACGGAAGATTCGAGCTTCATATTAGAGATACTGAATACTACAGGACATGTAAGAATTTACTACTGAAAAATCTAATGCTGATCCAAGTTTACCAAGAAATTGAATAATTAGAAAATTGTACAACTTTTCAAAATCGGGCTGACAAAATCAAAGTATTAACTCCTCTGATTGCTGGTTTGTTGTGGGATTCCAATTAAATTCCGAGGAATTAAAGAACCAAAGACCTAAAGAAGACATTAAAAGACCTAGAAGACTTAAAACCATCTGGCGGGGTATGGTGGCTTATGCCTATAATCCCAATGCGTAGAAAGGTAGAGGTGGGAGGACTGCTGGAGGCCCTGAATTTGAGAAAACCCTGCAGTCCCAGCTACTTGTGGGGCTGAGACAGGAAGATCACTTGAGCCCCTGAGTTAAAGGGTCCAGTACATGATTACACCGCTGCACTCCAGCCTGGTCAACAGAGACCCAATTTCTTAAAAAAAAATAAGAAAATAAAAAAAATCTAAAGTATCTCTATCGAGCTAGACAAGGTAGTTCATGCCCATAATCCCACCACTCTGGGAGACAGAGGCAGTAAGTTCACTCGAGGCCAGGAATTGGAGACCAGCCTGGCATCATAGTAAGCTCCTGGAGACCCTGTCTCTACAAAAAAATAAATAAATAAAATTAGCCAGGTGTGGTGGTAAGCACCTGTAGTCCCAACTACTCAGGAGGCTGAGGGAGAAGGATCATTGAGCCCAGGAGTTTGAGGCTGCAGTGAGTTATGCTAGCATCACTGCACTCCAGCCTGGGCAACAAAGTGAGAACCTGTCTCAAATAAATGTCTCTGTCTACATTACTATTGTGACAGGTATGGTAACTAGCCAAATTATGACCTTACTTGACAAAATAGATTATGTTTCAACCCAGTCCACGAAATGCAGCCACCGTGAGTTTTTTCTTAACTTTGTCTAACTGACTCAATGCCAGATATCATGCTAAAAGCCTTCAGTCAATTAACAATTAAAAGTATAGTTTATCACCAGGCGCAATGGCTCACGCCTTTAATTCCAGCACTTTGGGAGGCCGAGGTGGGCAGATCACGTGAGCTCAGAAGTTTGAGGCAAGCCTGGGCAACATGGTGAAACCCCAACTCTACCAAAAATACAAAAAATTAGCTGGGCGTGGTGGCACATGCATGTATTCCCAAGCTACTTGGGAGGCTGAGGTAGGGAGGATTGCTTGTGCCCAGGAGTCAGAGGTTGCAGTGAGCCGAGATCACAGCACTGCACTCCAGCCTGGGTGACAGAGTGAGACCCCATCTCAAAAAAAAAAAAAAAAAAAAAAAAAAAAAAGTATAGTTTATGGTAATTCAAGTAACAAATTTAATTCCATATAAATTATACAAGGCAATAGGGATATTATATAAGTTCAGTGACAAAAGGAAAATGGGTATAAAGCCTCCAAAACTTGCACATAATTCACATATCAAAGTACAGATTCAATTTAACTCATGATCTGAAATGAAAAATTTATATGGTTTACTACTAAAACAGAAACTCTTGAACACCACCACTCTGAAGTCTAAACTGTCCTAACACTGTCAATAACTGTGCTGGAAAGCAAGGAGCCAATGAGGTGACACTGGATTTCGTACCTGTTTGAAGCTGTTCTTGCTGAAGCTCTGTTTGTTCTACTTGGTGAGGCTGACTAGAAAAGCTCTGGTTATAACTGGCCTGGTACTGATTTTGCTGTTTTAAAGTTTCTGGTTCATTAACAGGAGGAACTGGGGCATTCATATTGAACACCTGTTAGTAAATAAAGTAAATGATTAGTTCATCCTTTTATTCTCTGCTTTATAACATGGCCAAACTCAATGGTGGTTTTACCTCAGACATAAAGAAAGACATCACAGAAGTCTCAAACACAAAAACATCACACACACACACACACAAATCCCTCCAAGTGCTTCAATATGGAAAAAGACATATATATTGTATAGTACTTAAAGGGGAGTATGATAACATGCTGTGAAATGGAAGTAGGGAATTAAAAAAAATAAAAAGACATACAATCAGCAGCCTTGGAAACACTTTTACATATATGAGAAATCTTTTTAAAAGACAAACTCTGGCTGGGCACAGTGGCTCACACCTGTAATTCCAGCACTTTGGGAGGCTGAGGCAGGCAGATCATCTGAAGCCAAAAGTTCAAGACCAGCCTGACCAACATGGTGAAACCCCCTCTCTACTAAAAATACAAAAATTAGCTGGGCATGGTGGCTTATGCCTGTAGTGCTAGCTATTCCAGAGGCTGAGGCATGAGAATCGCTTGAACCCAGGAGGTAGATATTGCAGTGAGGTGAGATCACGCCACTACACTCCAGCCTGGGCGACAAAGCAAGACTTTGTCTCAAAATATAAATAAATAAATAAGACAATCTCCTGATGCAGTATCACTTACAGAAATTTATTCTATGAACTTTAACAAGGTTGAATGTTTTTTTCATTTTTATTGACATTTTAATCAAGTTAAATATTTTAATATTTAATCTTATGAACTTTCCTCTGAGCACTGATTTAGCTGAACCCCACAGATTACAGTATTATTATTATTTTCTAGAAATTCTCTAAAGGTGCTTGCTCAAGAATCAAGGTAAAGCATAACATCTGAAACTTAAAAATACTTCAGTAAAATAAAAGATTAAGCAAACAGGGCAACTATTAAATCTAGGTAATGATTATGTGGATGTTATATTAGTCTATTTCTCTGAATGTTTAAACTTTTGGTTAACCAAATCAAAAGGGTAAAACTACAAATTAAGATGATGCAGGCACATCACTCATAAGGCTAAAATTTATCTCTAGAATATCCATTAATATCAGTTAATCTCTGGAATAATCAGTTTATGTTCAATTAAATATACCCTACAGTTACGAAAGATGCAGACTCAAGCACAGTTAAATGAAGACCTTTAAAAAAGAAAAGAAAATCTACCATGATTCACATTACACACTAGGCAATTAATGTTAATTTGCTTACCGTTTGCATGGATTGGAATGGAGCTGCATTTACATTGATTCCACTGCTATGTAAAGGTTTGCTCGTCCCAGCCTGAAATACTTGAGGCTGAGACGCAGCAGGAAGGGATGATGATGCTGTAGTCTGGTCTGTATTTAAAGAGATTGTTGCCTAAACACAAAGTGAATAGATGCACTTTAGAGGTAAACTAAACTTAGCCAAAAAAAAGTGAATAGATGTACTAAAGTGGTAAATTAATCTCAAACTTATGTGTATTAACAAACTCAAATATTTCATGAAAGCAAAGTAGGTCCAAAAAGAAGAAGAATGTTATTAATGGTAATGTACCTCTGTCCAATTCATGAGTAAGTGCCTCATCAAATGTATGTGGCCTGGTAACAGAACTTGCCTGAATCTGATCAATTGGTTCCTTCTGTGGTCGTTGCTCTGTAGCATGAGAAGGCTGGTACAAGGGCTGAGATGCTGTGTACCCCTCACTTGTGGATGATACCAAAGGAACCTAGACATAAGTAAAGAAATAAAAGCTTTTTCCTGCTTACAAAACTGACTGTTAAAAAAACAAGTTACCTGTAAGACACGTAAGGCTAAGAAAGGCTAAGAAACACATACAACTGCTAAAAAAGGGAGAAATTAATACTATCATCTTTTTAAATCTGTATAAAACCTAAAAATTGCAAAAAACATACACATTTTTGAAGCTTGATGTTAAATAAACCCAAGTCTCGTTATAAAGACCCTCTACAAGTACTTCTAAGATGGAGAAATCTGCACTAAATTTTAGAATTATGGCTAAACTATGTCGTCTGAAATTCTCAGTTCTAAATTTAAAAAGCTTATTTCATTATAATACATTATTTAAAATGCAAGACTTAAGAAAAACTTAAAAAGTCATGAAGAGGAAAAATGAACCTAAACATAAAAATAAAGGCTGACAGCTATCCACAACAATAAATTTGTTGAAGTCCAACAGAAGACTTGGACACTGATGAAATTCATACCTTCTTTCATAAGCTAAGAAAGAAACCAAGGAACCAATTAAAACAAAAGTGAAAAAATATTTTTAAATTATTTTTTAAAAATAGAGATGGTGTCTCGCTACACTGCCCAGACTGGTCTTGAACTTCTGACCTCAAGTGATCCTCCCATCTCAGCCTCCTAAAGTACTAGGATTATAGGCATGAGCCACCTTACCTGGCCCTGAAGAAAATAGTTTTATCACTCTTACCTGTGTAGCTTCTGGTTGTACAGGAACTTGATTAGGCTGAGCAAGTCTAGATTCAGAATGAACTGCAAAGGTGACCAAAATATTTTTGTCATACAAAATTAAACTTTTAGAGAGATGCGTCTAAATACCTTTTATTTCACTATTAAAGGCTTTTGGCGGGGGAGGGGGGGAGGGGCAGGATCTCGCTCTGTCACCCAGGCTAGAGTACAGTGATGTGATCTCAGCTCACTGTAACCTCTGCCTCCCAGGCTCAAGTGATCCTCCCACCTCAGCCTCCCAAGCAGCTGTGACTACAGGTGTGTGCCACCACGCTCGGATAATTTTTGTATTTTTAGTAGAGACAGGGTTTCGCCATGTTGCCCAGGCTGGTCTCAAACTCCTAGGCTCAAGCAATCTGCCCACCTCAGCCTCCCAAAGTGCTGGGATTACAGGGATGAACCACCATGCCCAGCAATTAAAGGTAAATTAAAGGCAATTAAAGGTAAACCATAAATAAGCTTTTTAGCAATCATGAAAATAAACTGGGAAATGCAGATAAAATTTTAGCTTTCAAGTGAGCATTTTGGTTTACTGGCAGTGATAATTATTTAATAGTTTACTTTCACAATTGGTTTCATCTTGTTTTTTCCAAGAGTAAAGTAAAATGTTATAATAGAATGCACTAAAAAATAATCAGTGCCATGAGAAAAACTTTTAAAGCTGTACAATAAAGTAGCATTATTCATACTCCAGACCTCAGACAGACAGTATTCTATTTTTATCTTTTGTTTCTTCTGAAACAGGGTCTCACTGTGTTGCCCAGGCTGGAGTGCAGTGGCGCCATCATAGCTAACTGTAGTCTCAAACTCTGGGCACAAGAAATCCTCCCACCTTGGCTTCTTGAGTAGCTGGGACTACAGGTGCATGCCACCCTGCCGACCTAACTTTTTTAATTTGACTAATTTTTAATTTTTGTACAGGCAAGGTTTATGTTGCCCAGGCTGGTCTCAAACTCCTGGGCTCAAGTGATCCTTCCTCCTCAGCCTCCCAAAGTACTGAGATTACAGGCGTGAGCTACCATACCCAGCTCAATATATCTTAACCAACTTTCAATTAATTTCAAATGTTTCTAGAGAAAAGAAAATTTAAAATATGTACTTTTTGGCCAGGCACAGTGGCTCACGCTTGTAATCCCAGCACTTCGGGAGGTCAAGGCAGGTGGATCACGAGGTCAAGAGTTTGAGACCATCCTGGCCAACATGGTGAAACCCTGTCCCTACTAAAATACAAAAATTAACGTACTTCCAGCTACTTGGAAGGCTGAGGCAGGAAAATCGCTCGAACCCAGGAGGCGGGGGTTGCAGTAAGCCAAGCCAAGAACACGCCACTGCACTCCAGCCTGGTGACAGAGCGAGACTCCATCTCTAAATAAATAATATATACTTTTTAAGAGCCTATATTCAACTCAGCATGCATCTTCTTAACAATTCCCATCATTCTCCCACCTCCCTTCCCAACAATGATTAAACAGATAATCAAAACGACGATCTTCGGTTAGTCATTAAGAAAGCACCCATTTTCACTGGAGAGTCTAATGGACTCAGCATTATGTAAATATCTAAATAGCCTTACAGGTTTTATCAGTGCTACCTATATTGACTTTCACACAATTTCCCAGCTGAGAAAACGACTTATTATCTTCCTTTGGTAGAGCTCGGAAAATGAACACTAAAGACCATGACTGCTCTCTTGTAGGTGTCACCTTTGATTTGTTTTCTAACTCTTGGTAGAAATGTGACAGAGATATGAGCTCCCTTTACTTCAGAAAAATCCTAACTACCTTACACCAAATTAAGTGTCATTAAACATACTTTTACTCAGCAACTTCTTTTATGATATTTAAGATCATGCAACATTAAATAGGTTATTTTACTTGGTTACACTTTTGTGCAATTAACACTGATGTGTTCTGGGAAAAACCAGGATGACTTACAATCACTAATAGTCCTGCAGAGAAGGTCCACTTAACAACAATGGAAGGCATCAACTCTATTTAGTGCTACTACTTCAAATAATGGTGTAAGTCCAGAAAGAGTCTGAAACTATCTTGTGGTTTCTCTCTTCCCTTTGCCTCTTACCCACTTCATTGCTGTGTATTTTTTTTAAGGTAATAAAATACAGAAATTCTCCTAGAAAGCTATAAGCATTCAAAGAAAGACATCTCTTATTTTTACTCCTAAATTTGGAAATTTTAAAAGCCAAGCAAAATTTCACTTGTTAAAGTTACAAAAACAGGCAAAACTGGTCTATTATAGTTACAAGTATGGAAGTGATTGCTATCGCTAGGGGCGAGGATAACTAGTGATTGAAAGGAAACACAATGTAGGTTTCTGGGGTACTGGTAATGTTTCATTTCTTAATCTAGGTGCAGGTGTTTTCAGTTTATAAAAACTCATTAAACTTGCATATATTTTTCTATGTCTGCACGGCAATAAAAAGTTTAAAAATAAACAATTATGGAACTACATTTTTAATTCAAATTATAGGAACAATAACATTCTTTTTATCAAATTAAAAGACCTAAGTCAAAATTAAAGTCATTAAAATAAAATTTATTTTCACAAACTTTATAAAACCTGAAAAGTACTGGCCTTATACTTCTCTCTCACATAAAAATGTACCACTACTAACCTGGAGGGCAAACCAGCTGGGGCATGTCCATGTTTTGTGTTGGATTCATAGGCTGTGCAGATACAATGGCAGGATCGAGTGTCTGGTTTTCAAAATCCAGCATTGAATCCTACAGGTTAAGTTAGGATAGAATAAAGTCAAATAATATAAACACTTGAAGTTTCTGTTACAGTGTTTGACTAAAATGAACATACCTGTATGAAATTATAAGGACCCTGCATTTGTGCCATAAGATCTTGTACTCGCTGTCTTCTCACAAGGGGATCTGCCTGAGCCACTGGAGTCAACGAGTGGGGCTCTGGTACTGAAGGGGATGCAGCCTGAGGTTGCTGCTGGAGTGAATTTACCACCTAAGGTAGAAAAAACAGGATGAGAAACAACAGGAGAGCAAAAAAGCTCCACTCACTACCATCATGATGTGTCCCCCAAACTACATATACCATCTAATACTATAAACAGAACAGGCTTTAATGCAGTTACACAAATGGACTACATTTATGCCAAATTTAACATTCTGAAAAATATCGTCACTTCTACAGTGTTTCAGTTCCATAGGACCACTATGTAGCATTTCAGGTTGGTTGATTGATTGATTGATTTTTATTTTTGAGATGGAATCTAGCTCTGTAGCCCAGGCTGGAGAGCAGTGGCAGGATCTCGGCTCACTGTAGCCTCTATCTCCCAGGTTCAAGCAATTTTCCTGCCTCAGCCTCTCAAGTAGCTGGGATTACAGGCACCCACCACCACACCCAGCTAATTTTTGTATTTTTAGTAGAGACAGGGTTTCACACCATGTTGGCCAGACTGGTCTCCAACTCTTGGCCTCATGTGATCCACCTGCCTCAGCCCCACAAAGTGCTGGGATTACAGGCATGAGCCACCATGCCCGGCCAGGAGAATGGTCTTGATAGAAGAATAACATATTAAAAAGAAAAGCATATCACCCTCAGCTTACAGCTATTTTCCTGCACTTTGGGGGTGTAAAGAAAGACATCTAAAAGAGGATCAAAAGGAAGGCCAGGACCCATTGGTAAGGTTTTTTGGACTGTATCTTACAGGTAACAAGGCATCAGTGAGAGCCTCAAGTACAAGTAACTTAAAGCTAACTTTTCCAATAAAATTAAGTTGTGACAATGAATAGGATGGTCCAGAGGCAGTCAGAGAGGAGTAATAGGAAGAGAGTCACTGAACTAGACATGAGGACCCAAAAAAAAATCATCGTATCAGTTGAGAGACAGCATTAGAAAACACTAGAGGAAGTCTACAGCCTGGTGACCAAACAGCATTAGAGTAAAGGAGTACAAGATGATACCCCAAAACACAGATCAGTGTAGGAGCCCTGATTTTTACAAAGCAACCTAATTTCAGTAAGAGACAAATCATGGTAACAGATTAATCCACATATAACTTTGTATAAAATAATTTTTTTACATTGGTTCAGCAAAACAGTGATCCTATTAAACATCCACAGGGACAAACATTCATTTTTTCGAAGTAACAGTCTGGTGTAATGAGTTTGTTATTATAATAAATGTACTAATAATGCAAAAAACAATCTTAATTTGTTCTCAGTAGAGATAAAAATTACTAAGTGAAGACAAAGACAACAACCTTGCAATACAGAGAACTCTTACCTCAACCGTTTCAACTGTCCACTCATCTACCTGCTCCTTTTCACCACTAGTGAACTGTGTTTCTGCCATGAACTGTCTATTTACATACTGCAAAGCAAAGTAAATGTTTGAGACATTTGTTTGAAAGGCAGCAAAGTAAAGGCAGCATTAAATTAAAATCATACCTCTGTTGATTCAACTTCACTTTGCTCAGTGTACTCTTCTGCTGGCTCAGGTTCTAAGAGGTTAAAAAATGGTGCAAAACAAAAGGATTTTTAGGTCAGTAATACTACTCTACTCTGCGTGATATTGGTAGATAACACGTCATCATACATTTGTCCAAACCCAGAGAATTACAACACTAAGAGTAAACCCAAATGTAAACTATGGACTTTGGGTGATAATAATGTGTCAGTGTGAGTTTATCAATTGTTAACAAATGTACCACTCTGGTCAAGTGGATGCTGACAATGAGGGAGGCTGTGCATCAGTGAGAGTAGAAAGTAAATGGGAAATGGCTACACCTTCTGTTCAGTTTTGCTGGGAGCCTAAAACTGCTCTAAAAAATAAAGTCGGCTGGGCACAGTGGCTCCTGCCTATAATCCCAGCACTTTGGAAGACCAAGATGGGTGCAAACCTGAGGTCAAGAGTTCGAGACCAACCTGGCCAATCTAGTGAAAACCCATCTCTACTAAAAATGCAAAAAATTGGCCAGGCATGGTAGTGGACGCCTGTAATCCCAGTTACTCAGGAGGCTGAGGCAGGAGAATCGCTTGAACCCGGGAGGCGGATGCTGCAGTGAGCCGAGATCAGGCCATTGCGCTCCAGCCTGGGAAACAAGAGCAAAACTCCATCTCAAAAAATAAATAAATAAATAAAAATAAAGTCTATTTTTAGAAATGATACCATAAAGTACAATAAATCTTTTTTAAAGTTAAGAATTCAACTAGGCCAGGCGCGGTGGCTCACGCCTGTAATCCCAGCACTTTGGGAGGCCGGGACAGGGGGATCACCTGAGGTCAGGAGCTTGAGACTAGCCTGGCCAACATGGTGAAACCCCGTCTCTACTAAAAATACAAAAATTAGCCAGACGTGGTGGTGTGTGCCTGTAATACCAGTTACTGGGAAGGCTGACGCACGAGAATCACTCGAACCCGGGAGGCAGAAGTTGCAGCAAGCTGAGATCGCGCCACTACACTCCAGCCTGGGTGATAGAGTGAGACTCAGTGCCCAAAAAAAGAATTTAACTTAAGGCCAGGTATGGTGGCTCACGCCTCTAATCTCAGGACTTTGGGAGGCCAACGCAGGCAGATCACTTGAGGTCAGGAGCTCGAGACCAGCCTGGCCAATATGGTCAAACCCTATCTCTACTAAAGATATAAATGATCAGCCAAGCGTGGTGTTGTGCACCTGTAATCCCAGCTACTCGAGAGGCTAAGGCAGGAGAATTGCTTGACCCTTGGAAGTAGAAACTGCAGTAAGCCAAGATCATGCCACTACACTCCAGCCTGGGCAACAGAGCTAGACTCTGACTCAAAAAAAAAACAAGGCCGGGCGCAGTGGCTCACGCCTTTAATTCCAGCACTTTGGAAGGCCAAGGCGGATGGATACCTGAGGTCAGGAGTTCGACATCAGCCTGACCAACATGGTGAAACCCCATCTCTACTGAAAATACAAAAATTAGCCTGGCGTGGTGGTGTGCGCCTGTAGTCCCTGCTACTCAGGAGCCTGAGGCAGGATAATCACTTGAACCTGGGAGGCAAGAGGTTGCAGTGAGCCAGGATCACGCCACTGCACTCCAGCCTGGGTGACAGACAGAGACTCTGTCTCAAAAAAAAAAAAATTTTTTTCAACTTAAATTCCAAACAAAGTAAATAGTTCACCATCACATAATCTAAATTTACTTATAAACTTATTTATAAATTAACAGTGTTTTATATTTTAGAAAGTTTTCTTTACCATTTATTTCAGAATTAATTACTTTAGGTTCAACAGTAGCTATTTCAGATCATGTATAACACAAATAAAGAGCTACTATATTAAAAGCCCTCTTTCTTCTCATAAGTAATAGTATAAAGCAGCATACAGATTAAAAATCTTACTTAGTAAAGTTGTAAGAGGGGGAAAAAGATTGCCTTATATTAATCTCCAACTATTAATCCTACCAATGTACAATCTTCCCTTCTAGTTTCAACCTACTAGCTACCCGTTACCAAGTGCTTACCGTGTGCCAAGCACTAAATACACACTTGACATATTTTCTTTTTGAGACGGAGTCTTGCTCTATCACCCATGTTGGAGTGCAGTGGCAAGATCTTGGCTCACTGCAAGCTCCGCCTCCCGGGTTCACGCCATTCTCCTGCCTCAGCCTCCCTAGTAGCTGGGACTACAGGTGCCCGCCACCACACCCGGCTAATTTTTTGTATTTTTAGTAGAGACGGTGTTTCACCATGTTAGCCAGGATGGTCTCGATCTCCTGACCTCGTGATCCGCCCGCCTCGGCCTCCCAAAGTGCTGGGATTACAGGCATGAGCCACCGCGCCCGGCCTTGACATATTTTCTAAATAGGGAATCTGAGGTACAAGAGTTTTACTAACTTGCCCAAAGTTACAAAGCTAGTAAATGTTGAAGCCAAGATTTAAATTCAGGCACTCTGATTCTAGCAAAATTTATACTCCGACGTTTCCTTGTATTCAGAATTTCACTCATCAATGTAAGAGTTACCATAAAAGTATTCACAGTTCGGTGTCTAGCTATATAATTAGTGTTGTGTTCCATGATAAAATTAACTGGAAAAGACTCCTTGCCTTGGAGGAATTTATAGTTCAAGATTATGGAGTTATAATCTCCCCATGATTAAAACAAAACAAAAGCAACTCATACTATTCATCCAATGTACTGGCATGGTAAACAGCAAATCTGGGCATTTCAGACAGAAACTTATCTGAAAATCCTTGTTAACAGCTGGCCCTCATCCATACTCCTGCCCATCAATACTACTGCAAAAGAACTATCAGTTTGTAATAGTGATCAAGACTAGTAAGACAAATGACTGATAATGAATACTGGTAGGAATTACTCGATAATCTCTCTTAACAGTTTGTCATGCTTAAAGTCTCTTTAAAAATAAAATCTAGTGTACATATATGAAAACTAAGTACGTATATAAACTTGTAGCAAAATCAAATAAAACCAGAACCCTAAACTAAAGTTCATATCCACCTAATACTCACCAGCTTCAGGTACCTGGTCTTCAACTGCAGGTGCTGAGGCTGCCTCTTCTTCCTCACACAACCCATTCTGGTGGTTGTGGGTGCTGTCAAAGTAGTTTGACTGAAAAACACGCTCAACAATTTCCTTCAGAACTTTATCTAAGAAAAAGAGCATGAATTATAATGTAAGACTTATCTGAGGATGCCTGTCTTGAAGAAGATCCAACATTCTATAAAATATTGTGATTAAAAAACAACCGTTACTAAAACACATATACACATAAAAAGATTACATTTCACCAAGAACAGAAATGTATTACAGAATGATAGGGAACAAGAAGAATGTAGTTATATTAAACTTTATGGGGTTTTTTGTTTGTTTTTGAGATACAGTCTTGCTCTGAAACCCAGGTTGGAGTGCAGTGGCGTTAGCTCACTGCAACCTCTGCCTCCCAGATTCATGCAATTCTTGTTCCTCAGCCTCCCAAGTAGCTGAGATTACAGGTGTGTACCACCATGTTCAGCCAATTTTTGTATTTTTAGTAGAGGCGGGGTTTCACCATGTTGCCCTGTGAAGGTCTGACCTCAGGTGATCTACCCACCTCGGCTTCCCAAAGGGCTGGGATTAACAGGCATGAGCCACCATGCCCGGCCTGAACTTTATGTATTTTAAGTAAATTAGTCAGGGGGAAAAAGATGACATTTAACATTTATTCATTCAAAAAGTATTTATTCAGCGCCTACTACATATTAGGCAATATGCTAGGCACTAGGAAAACAAAAAGGTATGTAAAGACACAGTATCTCCCCTCAATAAGCTTATGGTCTAACAGAGGTGGTATCAAATACAACTACAAAAAACTTATATCTGTGAAAAGTACTACACAGAAGTACAATGGATTGGACCCAATCAGAGTGAGGCCACAAAAGGCTTTCCTAGGTAAGTGCTACAAGAGTTGAAATCTAGAAGAGTAGAGGGGTGGAAGTGTTTCAAGATGGAGGAAAGAGCATTACAAAGTCCTATACAAAGGATGTCAAATACAAGAAAAGGAAAGGAAGCCACTGTGGCTAAAATACAGGGAACAAAGAAAAAGCATAGGGAAAGATGTGGCTGCAGAAACTGGTAAAAAACAGACCATGAATGTCCTTGAAGTTAAGGACAAACTTATATAAATAAAACTGAGATGAAGCCACTAAAGATTTTAAAGAGGCAGAGGGGTGGACTCAGTTAAGCAACTGCGTCAGACAAGAGAAAGGCATAAAAGTAGAAGAGAAAGAAGTAGACAATCGAAAGATATTTAAAAACAAAAACTATCAGAATTTGGTGTACCAGGATATTTAAAAACAGTGCAGGGCAGAGGGGGAGATGTATAAAGAGTTATTACTTTCAATTTCCTTGGCTTGTATATTATTAATAGTTATACAGTAGGGCCACTCCCTGATAGGTCACTGTAAAGAAAAATAAGATTTTGAGGACTATACTATATCAAAAGCTTTGGGAAATTAATCCTAATAAACTACCAACAACTCTTTAGATAATGAACACTTCATACGTTTTCCTTATTTCACTTCAGCAGCTCCTGGCTCAAAACTGTTTTCAAGAAGTTATAGATACAAATCAAATGTACATAAAAACACTAATTTGGGTATATTAGTACCTTTCCATTGTAAAGATGTCACATTCCTATGATGTGGGAATGAGATTAGGTAGAAAATAACCCCAAAACAAGCTATAAGCTTAAAGGTTTAATAACACCTTTGTTACTCAGCAATGCTCATGAAAATTTGATGAAGCTTGACCTAAAACTACTTTTTTAAGCTAACAAGTTTATATATATAGAACTTGCAGAACTAAAAGCAAAAAGGTAAACACATATTTTACAAAGAAATACAGACCAGAGTAAAAGTTAACAAACCAAGAAAATTATTTCTTAAATGAAGAAAGGACAGACAAGGACTGGTACCCTTAAAGCAAATATACTCTTCTAAATTTTGCCAATTAAAGCTCATACCATTTTGGTGACTAAAGCTTATAATTCAACCTGATTTCTTTTCAACCAACAGCTAAAAACACATAAATACAGATGCTTTCATTTTATGTTCAAAAATCTACCTTCCTGATAATTCAGCCTTACAAATCGCAAAGATAAGAATCTATTCCCTGGTTTCACAAAAGGCTAAAACGTAAATTCCTAGTTTACTGAAGGAATAAAACGTGAATGTCCATTTTTTAAAAAATCAGTTCACAGTTGCATGTTTGAGAATAAGGAGCTCACACAGAAAACTAGACCAAGTATCAGAATATTTTAAATACAGAAAAAAACTAACATCCTCAAATTAGCAGATGTCTAAGACAAACTAAAGAAAAACTAAGGCAATAACCATGAGCAGAATGTATGAAATGCAAATTGTTTCATGAAACTTCAGCCATAAAACAAACAGTCCCCATCTATTACTAAAAGCTGTGGAAATTCAATCTGATGTTAGTCTACCTCAGACAAACATAATTAAGTTACATACAAGACCATGTGAAGTTAGGACTATCATACTACCCAGTTTCAGTTGTTTGTTGCTTGTGTTCTGATTTCCACATTACAGATTAAACATATAAAGAAACAAAAAAGAAACCAAGCAGTAAATAGCAGATGAATGTTATATATACACTTCTAAATTTTATTCAATTAATATTAATTTTAAATAGGAAAACTAGCTGGGCGCAGTGGCTCACACCTGTAATCCCAGCACTTTGGGAGGCCCAGGCAGGTGAATCATTTACGGTAAGGAGTTCGAGACCAGTCTAGCCAACATGGCGAAACCCTGTCTCTACTAAAAATACAAAAATTAGCCAGGCGTGGTGGCGCATGTCTATAATCCCAGCTACTTGGGAGGCTGAGGTGATAGAATCACTTGAACCCGGTAGGCGGAGATTGCAGTGAGCTGAGAGCACGCCACTACACTCCAGCCTGGGTAACAGAGTAGACTCCGTCTCAAAAAAAAAAAAAAAAAAAAAAAAACGAAAACTAATTTTTTTTCTCCCAAGTGAACTATAAACATAGGAAAATTAACTTTTAAAGATTCCTAGTTATAAAATCAAAGTTATCAGTGATACTCACAGGTAGTTCCACATACAGGTTTTTCCTTCCCTTCCAGCAGGTCCCACAGGTGAATGGATGCATGTTCATACTGTTCATTCAACCTTTTAATAGTAAATAGCTAATTAATAACCTTTCAGTTGTCAACTTAAATACTCAGAAGTTTCTATTATCAAATACCACTAATACCTCAAGCTCATGTCCCGTTCAGGGTCTACTAGCTTATAGAATTCATCCAACAATGACAGCTCCTCTTCGGACAATATTGGCACTCCATTCAAACCTTGTTTCAGGTCAGTCCGCACTTCATCATCTCCCAATTTGTCCAAAACATACTGTAGCTCAAGTACAGTTTTTAAACGTTTCTGTTCAGCTTCTTCTCTCATAAGCTGCTCCCGACGTGCTGTCTTCTTTATTGTTTTCTGAATCTGCAAAACGATATCAATGTAAAACACCAAAATGAGTTCTATAAAACTTAGTTCAATCCATTTCAGGTCCAGCTTAAATAAGGCACGTTTTACTCAATGAGTGAGATATGACCCCAGTACACAAAAGGATGATTCCTGACTTACAAATACAGTTTTAAACATAATCTATTTTAAGCAATTGTTAAAAATTCAGAACAGCTCTTTCCCTAGAAGGTATTTTACTACTGAAATATTACTGATGAAACAATGTGTTTGGGGCTTCTTTCAAAATAATCTACAGGGCAAAAGGAGCAAGGAAATGAATGTAGATTTATGTGAAATACAACTGACCATGAGATGATAAATATACAAGTTCGGTACAGGTACAAAGAGTTTCATTGTAATGTTTTCTTTAGTTAGGTATATATGTCTGAAGTTTTTCATTATGCATATAAAAGGTAAAAATTTTATGAATTTAGAAAGTATACAGAAATTTAAAGGCCTAGGCCAATTAAAAAAGAAACCCAACCACAGCAACAATAAAAATCTTACCTCAATCTAGCTCCTCTATGGACAAATAACCCAAAGTTCTAACTCTGAGTATCTACTAATGACTCACAAGGAAATGCCAAAAACCCACAAGTGCCCCTTTGCCCCCAAATAATCCGCTGCCAGTCTCAGAAAGACATTCCATTCTATTGAAAAGAGTGCCTAATTTTTTTTATGAATAAGATGATGCTGGTGGAGAAAAACAGCTAAAGCTAAGTCTGAATGTATTTTCCCCACATTCCTTTTTTTCTTCCCTAGAAAGGCTGAAAGGAAAACATCAGCCAAACTCAATTATTTCTCTCCCTCTCTCGTGTATCTAACATCAGGCTGGGGACAGAGGAAGGCCAGTCTTTTCAAGAGGAATGGCAATGTTTTCCTTTCCACTTTTTCTCCTTTCTCAAGCCTCACTAGGATGAACCAAGACACAGAAAACCAAAATGGGGACATATGAAACCTATATTAAAGGGAAAAATGGTGAAGGACACCTGGGAGGAATGATGAAGGCTGCAATAACAAGACAAATCTATAATGGCAACAGACTGTGCAGAATAAATATCTTAGCAATAAATGGCAAGTGACAGCTACAGTGAGCTGAGATCATGCGACTGCTTCAGCCTGGGTGAAACAGTGAGACTGTCTCAAAAAATATATATATTTTTAAAAAATAATTTAATAAAAATTTTTTGAGGCAAGGTCTATGTTTCCAAGGCGGTCTTGGGTCTTGAACTCCTGGCCTCAAGCAATTCTCTCACCTCAGCCTCCTAAAATACTAGTATTACAGGTATGAGCCACCATGACCAGCCAGGAAGGTGTTTTTTGTTTTGTTTTGTTTTTGAGATGGAGTCTCACTCTTGCCCAGGAGTGCAGTGGCACAATCTTGGATCACTGACACATCAACCTCCTGAGTTCAAGCAATTCTCCTGCCTCAGCCTCCTGGGATTACAAGTGTGTGTTCCCTCGCCCGGCTAATTTTTGTATTTTTAGCAGAGACAGGGTTTCACTACGTTGGCCAGGCTAGTCTTCAACTCCTAACCTCAGGTGATCCATCCGTGGGGTTACAGGCATGAGCAACCACACCCTGCGCAGGAAGGTCTTTATAGGTAGGTGGAGGCAGGAAACGTAGGAAGACGAGCAGGAATGTGAAAGGAAGTTAACAAAGCAAAAGAAGTTAAGAAAGCTATTCTGTATGAAATGAACAGTTCAAGAAGGAAAAAGGTGAAAAGGTAGGCTGGACCCAGGCTAAAGAAGTTCTTGAATGCTGAACAAAAAGCATGTTTAATAATTGTGGAAAGTATACCAAAGGATCAAAGATAAATAAAAGCTCTGCTAACGAAGTCAAAGCTCAGAGAAAAGTCCTGAAAATACCAAAGTGTTACAAGAGGAGCAAAAAAGGATACAGGTATTTTCATTACACAGTGATAGTAACTTCCAAAATAGATGTTACATTAAACTGTATAGCAATCCTGCTTCTATTTTAAAAAAGAAAAAGAAATTGGGCAGGGTTCATCAAGCTAAGTGGAATAAATCTCTCCTTTGGTGCTATGGTCTGAATACATCCCCAAAAATTCAAGTGTTGGAAACTTAACCCTCCCAATTCAATAGTGTTGGGAGGCTGGGCCTTTTGGGAGCTATTTAGAATGAATTAATACTACTATAAAAAGAGCTTGCAGGAGTATGATCACTCTCTCTTGCCCTTAAGCCCTCTACCATGTGAGGACACAGTAATGCAGCAAGATGCTGGTACCTTGATCTTGGACTTCCCAGCATCCAGAAGTGTGAGAAACAAATTTATGTTCTTTATATAAATTATCCAGTCTCAGGCATTCCATTATAGTAACACAAAGTTGACTAAGACACTACATACAAAATTAAATTACTTTTTTTGTTTCCAGGCAAAGATTTTCCTTCCCTGATGAGATATAATAAGTAATTCTAAGATGAAGTACTTGAAGCTAGGCACATTGGCTCACGCCTGTAATCCCAACACTTTGGGAGGCTGAGGTAGGCCAATCACCTGAGGGGTCAGGAGTTTGAGACAAGCCTGGCCGACGTGGTGAAACCCCGTCCCTACTAAAAATTTAAAAATTAGACGGGCATGGTGGTGCTCGCTGGTCTGTAGTCCCAGTTACTCGGGAGGCGGAGGTTGCAGCAAGCTGAGATAGCGGCACTGCACTCCAGCCTGGGCAACAGAGCAACGCTCTATCTCAAAACAAAACAAACAAACAAAGGACTAAGTGCTTGAAATATATTAGTTATGCATCAACTACTGTTCTAAGCACAACCCTATGAGGTAGGTACAATTATTATCACCATTTTACAGATTAGAAAACCAAGGCACTGATGGCCTCTGCCCATCAGCCCCCTTTCTATCCTATTGGATCTGTTACTCTGGAAAACCTTGACTAATATAAGAACAGTGAAATTAAGTAACTCATCCATGGTCATACTACTAAGTCAAGTCATAAAATTAGGATTCAACTGGGCAGTCTGCTTCTAGAATCACATCTCTTAATCCCTACACTGCATTGTCTCATATAATAAACTGGTTTTTTTTTTGTTTCAGCATTTTAGAGGAAACTTTATATAGTCACACATTACTTAACAAGGATACATTCTGAGAAATATGTCAGTAGGGAATTTCATCATTGTACAAACATGGAGTGACTTAGACAACCTAAATAGTACAATCCACTACACACCTAGGCTATATGGTTTAGCATATTAGCTCCTAGACTACAAATGTGTACAGCATGTTACTGTACTGACTACTGTAGGCAACTGTAACACAGTGGTAACTATTTGTATATCTAAACATACAATAGGTACAATAAAAATACAGTATTATAATGTTACGGGACCACCATCATATATGTGGTCCACAGTTGACTGAAACATCATTATGGAGTATATGCCTGTATTTCAATGTTATTAGCCTTCTCCAAAGATGACACTTATTCAGATGGCTTAATTTTCTGGCCTCAACAAATTATCTGACTTTGCTTGCATTTAACTTTTGTCCTTATTCCCAAAGGTTTTTGTTTTGGATCAAGTGCTGATATAGGAACACATCAGTTTGCCATACCCCTTAAGGTTCCTAAAGCAGAGAATAATTACCAATTATATAAATGAGCCTCTTTATTTTCTGACTGTTAAATTGTGAGTCATTAGACATAAAGAACATGATAAATAAAAAACATTTCTTTATTTATGTCTAACGACTATCTTATTTATATGTATTTGCAGAGCTAACATGTTAAACCAATGAGACCTTTAGCATTAGTTACAACACGTTTGTCAAATCTCAAACTTGGTCCTTTTAAAATTTTTTTTTAATTTAATGGTTTTTTTTTTTAGAGACGGGGTTTTATCACGTTGCCCAGGCTGACGTGCAGTGGCTATTCACAGGAGTGATCATATGCACAGCGGCCGTGAACTCTTGGCCTCAACCTATTGAGGAGCTAGAGCTACAAGCATATGCCACCGCCCCCAGTTTCAAACTTAGTATTTTTAAGACATCTTTCAGGTGTTACGCTAAACTTTACAGAATGTGAAGGCATCTTAGATAAAACTGGATACAACTATCTCACCTTGCAGACAGCTTATCAATAGTAATGGAAGGACTAAAACCCAAAGAAACAACAAAAGTATTTCATAAATATGTATACTTTCTTTTACTTACATCCTGACTTAGTGCCATGAAACTCCTCTGTAATTCTTTTGCAAACTCCAAATTATTTGTGACTTCCTGGTACTTAGAAACGGCATCCTAAAAAGACAAACAACCCAACTTTACTGTAAAGACAAAACACCACAAAATTAATTTTTCTATTTAAAATAGTAAGCATTAAGTCTAAAATAAAAATATAACATATTTACCAGCTGGTCTTGATTAAGCCTTTCCCCTTTGTTCATTCGTTCCTGGTAATCATCAAGCTTACCCTATATTAAAAGAAAAAAAGAATTACATTCCGTATTGAAGGTATATACCAGCTTAAGCATGCTTGACAAAACCCACACAATCCTCCTAGGTTTGTCTCAAATTTTGCCTTAAATAAACTTTTAAGATATATTCCAGTCTAAGTACATTTTTAAAAAAAAAAAAATTTTTTTTTTTTTTTTGAGACAGTTTCACTCTTGTCACCCAGGCTAGAGTGCAATGGCACAATCTTGTCTCAATGCAACCTCTGCCTCCCATGTTCAAGCTATTCTACTGCATCAGCCCCTAAAGTAGCTGGGATTACAGGCACTCACCACCATGCGCAGCTAATTTTTTTTGTATTTTTTGTAGAGACAGGGTTTCACCACGTGGTCAGGCTGGTCTCAAACTCCTGACCTCAGGTGATCCACCTGCCTCAGCCTCCCAAAGTGCTAGGATTACAGGCATAAGCCACCATGCCCAGCCTAAGTACATAAAACTTTTTAGATCTACTCCAACCATTGCTGAATGATATCAAAGACTGTATTGTAAATCAATGACACAACATTATTCCTTCCTACAAGAAAGAGTATTAGATGGACTAGGCATAAGGCTCCCACCCACATGGCTAAGGGCCACAATTTGGTTAGGATCCTGCCTATATCAGGTGAGCGTATCAGACATTTATCAGATTAAATTTTTGTCTCTCCCTCTCCCCAAAAGAAGAATTCATGTGACTAGGTGATATAAGAGTATTTTTAGGCCAAACACAGTGACTCAACGCCTGTAATCCCAGCACTTTGGGAGGCCAAGGTGGGCAGATCACCTGAGGTCAGGAGTTCAACACCAGTCTGACCAACATGGAGAAACCTCATCTCTACTAAATATACAAAATTAGCTGGGCATGGCGGTGCATGCCTGTAATCCCGGCTACTCAGGAGGCTGAGGCAGGAGAATCACTTGAACCCAGGAGGTGGAGGCTGCGGTGAGCCAAGATCGCACCATTGCACTCCGGCCTGGGCCACAAGAGCGAAATTTCATCTCAAAAAGAAGAAAAGAGTACTTTTTTCGGGCCAGGCACAGTGGCTCCTGCCTGTAATCCTAGCACTCTGTAAGGCCAAGGTGGGTGGATAACCTGAGGTCAGGAGTTTAAGACCAGCCTGGTCAACATGATGAAACCCCATCTCTACCAAAAAATACAAAAATTAGCTAGGTATGGTAGTGCAAGTCTGTAGTCCCAGCTACTTGGGAAGCTGAGGTGGGAGAATCGCTTGAACCCTGGAGGTAAAGGTTGCAGTTAGCTGAAATAATGCCACTGAACTCCAGCCTGGGCGACAGAGTGAGACGCTGCTCCCCACCCTGATTTTTTTTTAAAAAAGTATTTTTCTGAATAAACTCATGGGCATATTGTCTTCAACGTACTTCATTTATCTTGAACAAGATAGCTACCACCTCACTAGTACACAAGTCAACAGCTTTGCTTTACTAGTTCAAGGGTGAGGATAGAAAACTAACATCTGGTTTAAGATCACATTTTCTTGCTAAGATTAAAACTTTGCAGGTTTCCTGGGCTACTACTATTAGATAAGACCCCACAATTCAGGTAATGCAACACAGTCACAAACTGTTACTATTGTAAAGGTCAGAGGACAGGGAATGAGGATAAATCTAAATTAACAGGACAATACTTAATCCCAGAAAATTATGAACATACATAGATCCTTACCCCCTTACCAATAATAAAATTGTGAAACAAAGTACAAAGTTAAATTCTAATAAAGGGCATTCAGAAACCACAGAAGCCAGTTTAAAAGCAATGGTAATAAGTTTTGTTTTTTTCTTTTTTTTTTTTTTTTTAGGTCAAATGATCTATTTTCTTTGTACCATAAACAAATGTCAACCTGCCTAGACATTCTACCCCAAATTGAAAACCCTACCACAATTCCTTCGTAACACTGGAGGTAAATAAAACCAAGATAATCACTAAGACATTAAAGGCTTTTAAAAGTATCCAATTTTATTATTAGATGAACTATTTCACACAATCTATAAGCCTCCAAATAAACAGGTATAAAATTTCAGTCTACTGATTTGAGAAAAAAAAGAAAGATTTTTTTACACTGATATGACAGATCTGACCACAGGTGCAGAAGATGTGTCCAATTACCTCACGATACTCTGAGGATCAACAGACAGTTCATTCTGTTTTTAAAAAGGGAAGACTCATAAGCTTAGGAAGCTTAAAAAAAAAAAAGTTTTAAAATAAAAAATTTTATTTTTTTAAAGGGTAGGCTATTTTTCTTTTAAGAAATAAAAAACTAGACCGGGCCCAGTGGCTCACGCCTGCAATCCTAGCATTTGGGGAGGGCAACGTTGGCAGATGACAAGGTCAGGAGTTCAAGACCAGCCTGGCCAATATGGTGAAACCCTGTCTCTACCAAAAATACAAAAATTAGCCAGGCGTGGTGGCACGCACCTGTAACCCCAGCTACTCAGAAGGCTGAGGCAGGAGAATCGCTTGAACCCAGGAGGCAAAGGTTGCAGTGAGCCGAGATCACACCACTGCACTCCAGCCTGGGACAAAGCAAGACTCCGTCTTTAAAAAAAGAAAAAACCAAGTAAGATTTGAATTTATGATTTAGGATATTCCAAAATAATAGTATTATAATCACAATTCCTCTATTTAAAAATATACAAACAGAAAATACACAAAGAGGAGGGCTTAAAGTTCAGTGCTAGTACACAGTTCATTAGTACTGAACAAAAGAAACACTGTTACTAACTTATAACTGGTATTTATCACCTTCCTTTTCTTCTATAGTATTATACATTTAAGAAAATTGTTGCTCAATCTAGAAATACACCATACATCCCTCATGGGGTAGAGTTTATATATCTAACCAAAATGGACATAGAATCAAATTCCTAAAAAATGCTTGTGTAGAGACGAAAATAAATATAAAAAGATAAACAATAAAAAAGGTAAGAATGGTACCTGAGCGATAAAATTATAGGTGGAGCTGTGTTCCTTTTGCTTTGTTTTATACGCTTAACTACTGTGCAATGAACATATAGTTTGTACAATGAAAATAAGAATTCCATGCAATATAAAAGACATTAAAATTGACAGACTTCAGTACATTGTCAGGACTCTCACCAATAACAATCCTTAATTATGAACCTATACTACTCTTATAGTAGGACAAGTTATCCTAGAGTAGAAAACCTCCAATTTTCTACACAATAACAAATTTAGAATTCATCCAAAGTGAGAGCTATGGCAGATTACATTTTCCAAAGATAGCTACAAAATCTGCATGCAGTCTCACATACTGTTCTACAATGTGACCTTGACACTACTCCATTAACAACTAGTCCACTTCCCCTGCCACTGCACCTGAGTGAGACTGTATAAGTGATGCTGTATGATTTCCAAGGCTGAGTCATAAAAGCAATCCATCTCTGCCTTGTTTGCTGATGATCCAAACACTTGTATGTGGAGCCTTGAGCCATCATACAAACACAGTAACTCTGAGACTGCCACATGATAAGGAAGCCATGCCATGAAGAAAGGCCTCATAGCTTCTGATCAGCAATCCCTGTGGTTCTACTCATTTTAGTCCAAGCAACAAACGTATGAATGAACAAGTCTTAGTCTTCCCACATGAGGCCCCCGGTGTCATCGAACAGAAACATCAAAACTCCTGTGTGCCCTGTCTGAATCCCTGACAGGCAGAATCTTTGCGCGTAAGAAAATCATGGTTTTAATTCCTTAAAGGATTAATCTGTTACACGGCAATAACCGGAACAAGGTTAAAGAGGAAACGAAAAAGAAAGGCAAGCAGCCAGTATGTGAAACTCAGCTTCATAGTACACCTCTCCATGGAACATTACAACAAAAGAAAGTATGCAAAAAGAACTCTGCATAGCCAAAATAAAGATCTATGCATTATGGCCAGGCATAGTTGCTCACACCTGCAATCCCAGCACTTTGGGAGGCCAAGGCAGGAGGATCACTTGAGGCCAGGAGTTCAAGACCAGCCTGGACAACATAGCGAGAACCTGTCTCTATAAAAAATTTTAAAATTATCAAGGCGTAGAAATTTTTTAACTTAGTGCCTATGGTCCTAGCCACCTGGGAGGCTGAGACAGGACGATCACGAGACTAGGAGTTGGAAGTCGTGATGAGCACGACTGCCCTCTAGCCTGGGTGACAGTGCAGTATCTTGGCTAAAACAACAACAAAAAAAAAACTGTGCATTTTTATTAAAGCTCATATGCCGATTTACTCTGATTTAGTAATACTATTAACATGATTCTTGTTTTTCAATCCAAGAACTGAGATTTTTAAAAGGTGAAGAACTTAAAGAGTTTACTGTAAAGAAAGAAGTATGTAAATCATAACTGAACAATCTCAAGAATCTTTTACAGAATTTTCAAAGAGCAAACCACAGTTCCTTATACCCACCAAATTGAATTACCCAATCAAAAAAACGTAGTAAATCAAAGGTACCCGACGCCATGGCTCACACCTGTAATCCCAACAATTTGGGAGGCCAAGGCAGGTGGATCACTTGAGGTCAGGAGTTCAAGACCATCTTGGCCAACATGACAAAATCTCGTCTCTCCTAAAACTACAAAAATTAGCCAGGCGTGGTGGCACAAACCTGTAATCCCAGCTACTCAGGAGGCCGAGGCACGAGAATCACTTGAACCCAGGAGGTGGAGACTACAATGAATCGAGATCGTGTTACTACATTCCAGCCTGGGCAACACAGTAAGACTGTCTTAAAAAAAAAAAAAAAAAAAAAACGCTGGGTGTGGTGGCTCACGCCTGTAATGCCAGCACTTTGGGAGGCTGAGGCAGGTGGATCACGAGGTCAAGAGTTGGAGACCAGCCTGGCCAACATGATGAAACCCTATCTCTACTGGGAAAAAATACATATATATACACAAAAATTAGTCAGGCACAGTGGCGCATGCTTGTAGTCCCAGCTATTCGGGAGGCTGATGCAGGAGAATC